AAATCCCAAATCCCAAATCCCAAATTATGATTAGTATTTTTTGCCGAAATCCCAAATCCCAAATACTAGTAATTTGGAATTTTGGCATCCCAAATCCCAAATGATTTGGGATTTAGGCAACACGTATATTTTGTTCCACACTGTATGTATGAGTTATATTAATAAACAAGCTTTTGAATAATCCGCATTTTATATAAAAAATGGCAAACTCGCAATTCAAAATTGATTTGCTTGAAGACCAGAATTTCAAGCTTGTAGCCGAGATTGATGAGCTTAGAAAGGAAAATGCCAAGATTCCCGAACTTGAAAAGAAATTTGCTGAGGTTAAAGCTGAAAATGCGAAGCTGAAGTAGATTATTGAGGAGAATGGAAAGCGCGATGTTAGAGTCGAGGAATTAGAGCAAAAGAATATAGAGCTTGAGACCAGACTCGCTATATTAGAACAGGAAAAAAGTATTTCTACGGAAGATATTTCGCACTCTCCAGTAAATTCTAACGATACTCCTAAACAGATAGTGCCACAATGTGATGAGTCAAAGACTCGTGGTTATACCACTGATATCCTGATATCTGATATAACTGATAATACTTTAAATTCTAACAATACTCATGAACAGATAGTCTCACGTAATGAGGAGTCTAACACATCTAATCACGAAGTGACTGCCTCCGGCAATTCCGATACACAACAGGAATTAGAGACCTCCACATCTCCTATCCCCGCGGAAACCATATCACTGGAAGAGAAAGAAGAAAACGAATTCCTGGATTCAATGTATAAGGAAACGGTTAGTAAAGAGATAATGGAGAGAATTAGGGAGAAGAAACTTCGAGATCAAGAGTTACTCTCAACTCCTGAGAATAATATTTGCTGTGAGCAAAGTTTAATACAAGAAAAATACCAAGAAATTTCCGTCACGAATCCTGACGATCGGCAAAAAGAAAAATGCCAAGAGAGCGAGCTTACAAATCATAACATTTACGTAACTGAGGAGCCTGATGAGATTGAGCCCACTAAAAGACAGTATATTGAGCAAGAGTTAATAAAAGAATTACTCAGTAGCAACCCTATTGTGCCACCCGTTTCCTCTGAGATTATAGAGTATCGAACATTTCAAATCACAACACAAAGCTTAGTCCGTTTATTTCATTATGCAATACGATCTAGACATGAAGAAATCTTAGCTTGATACTATTACTCAAATGATTTTGAAAATAAAGTTATCGAAATTTGCCGTGAGTTAGGGGTTACAGATAAAACTGCTAGAACGCAATTATACAAGGAAATGTTAAACCATCTATCTGGTATTACATCAGGAAACTTGCGTATGAAAACTTTAAGAGCCAAGAAAATTCGGATATTGTTTGGGGAAGATGGAGTTGGAAAAGATAAAATTAAGCAAGTTACCTACAGTATATATGCCATTTCAAGCCTTACTAATAGTCAAATTCAAAACGTTATCAAGAATGTAACTTCAGTAGAACTATACGTGTTGCCCAAATCCCAAATTACTAGTATTTGGGATTTGGGATTTGGGATTTCGGCAAAAAATACTAATCATAATTTGGGATTTGGGATTTGGGATTTCGGCATTTGGGATTTCGGCATTTGGATTTTGAATTTGGGTAGCAGGTATAAGTAGAACCATTATTGGAAACTGCCACGAAACATGATGATCAGACTAATGCGAAGGTAAGTGTTTCATCTATACCACCTACCTTAAAACCCATTACTGAGAAAGCTTTACCCGAGAAACAGAATAATTCAACTCATGACCATGCTTACTTTCGTAATAAGATACTGTTACGATATTCTGATCTATATAAAATGTTTATTACTGAAAAATTTGATTACTATGATATTATTGAGGGATTATTATGCCCAGTATGTAAACTATATCATGAAGATGGGAAAAGCGTAAGAGGTAGATACGAAGCTGGATCCTATTTTATTATATGCGGAAAGTGCGAAATTGAGATAACGGCATAAATTGTAAAGTCATCCAGGTATAGCCACTATGTGACAAGTTTTTTGGTTTCAAACGTTTGTAAATTAGTTAGACCTGAGGGGCCATCGCTTTGCAATGCTATATTTATTTTTTTTTATAATTGTTATGCACAACTCATAATTTGAATTTGCGATCATATAAAACAATAACATGGATAAACCCTTAACCCCCGAATATTTGAACTGGCATGCTAAATTGGTTGATGCACCGAGTCAATTGACAAATAAAATTCGTTTGAGCTTATATAG